CCGCCGGCGCCCGCCTGCGCCTGCGCCTGCTCCTGCTCCTGCTCCTGCCGCCGCCACTGCTGCTGCTGCTGCTCCGCGCCAGCCACGCGGGCAACCTAACGGTAGCCGTGGTGCTGCCACTGGCCAACACCTCGTACCCGTGGTCGTGGGCGCGCGTGGGACCGGCTGTGGAGCTGGCCCTGGCCCAGGTGAAGGCGCGGCCCGACTTGCTCCCCGGCTGGACGGTCCGCACGGTGCTCGGCAGCAGCGAGAACGCGCTAGGCGTCTGCTCCGACACCGCCGCGCCCCTGGCCGCGGTGGACCTCAAGTGGGAGCACAGCCCCGCCGTGTTCCTGGGCCCGGGCTGCGTGTACGCGGCCGCCCCCGTGGGGCGCTTCACCGCGCACTGGCGGGTGCCGCTGCTGACAGCCGGCGCCCCCGCGCTGGGCTTCGGGGCCAAGGACGAGTACGCGCTGACCACCCGCGCGGGGCCCAGCCACGCCAAGCTGGGCGACTTCGTGGCGGCGCTGCACCGACGGCTGGGCTGGGAGCGCCAGGCGCTCGTGCTCTACGCCTATCGGCCCGGCGACGACCAGCCGTGCTTCTTCGTAGTGGAGGGGCTGTACATGCGGGTCCGCGACCACCTCAACATTACCGTGGACCACCTGGAGTTCGCCGAGGGCGACCAGGACTACTACACCAAGCTGCTGCAGACCGTGCGGCGCAAAGGCCGAGGTGAGTGGCGGGCACGCCCGGTCCCGCGGCGTTGCCCCACGGCCTTTTATTCGACCCATCGAAGGCACCCGACTTCCTCTCTTCTCTTCGCCTCCGGGCCTCCTTCCTACTTCTCGCCTCTCTGCATTACTTCATTCTCGTTTCAGCCGCCCCCCTTTCTCCCCCTACCCTCCTTCCCGATCTCTTCACGTCCCTACCCCCTCGCCTCCCCTTCGCACCGGTTCCTGTGGAGTTAACAGGAGGGAGGGAAAAAATGCCTGCGCCACCCTGGCCCTTCCTACCTCCCCACCTGAGATCCGCTCTCTCCCCTTACCCCATTTTCTCTCTTCCCTACAGTCTTCTCCCTTCCTGCATCCTCTCTTCCCATTGCTCCCACACACACCCCTCCCCATCTCCTCTGCAGCTGTCCCCTTCTCCTCTCCCTTGCCCTCTCTCTCCCCTCCTGCCCCGACCTTCCCCACCTTTAGCTCCACTCTCCCCCTCTCCTTATCTCCTCCTTTCTCCTCTTCCCTCCCACCTCTCTCCTGACTTTCATCTTTCGCCTGCCACAGCCTAGACTAAGCCAGGAGTTGTCACTTAACTACTACAGGGTCTCTTACACCCCCCCATCTCTAAACTTCCTCCTCTGGGTGCCCCAGCTTCCTGCCGGAGTCGTCCCCCACCCCTTCTCTCTTCTCCAGGACCTAGGCTTCTCTCTCTCTGACTCCTCTTTCCTCTCTAGTTATCTACATCTGCAGCTCCCCAGATGCCTTCAGAACCCTGATGCTTCTGGCCCTGGAAGCTGGCCTGAGTGGGGAGGACTATGTTTTCTTCCACCTGGACATCTTTGGGCAAAGCCTGCAAGGTGCACAGGGCCTTGCTCCCCACAGGCCCTGGGAGAGAAGGGATGGGCAGGACATCAGTGCCCGCCAGGCCTTTCAGGTGAGTGCCCAGGTTTGAAGCCCAGGCTGCGGGACTCTGACCTGGTGGGCACTGTGTCCCTCAGTGTCTGAAATGATTCCAGAAAAGAGGTTGTTGATGTTCACAGGGAGTTAGGCAATGAAGGGCAGAGGGCTGGGGCAAGGCATATACAGAGGGCCAGGGGCTAAAAAGATATGAGAATGAGCTTGAGGTTACTAATTAAAGTGCCATAGACTGGACGGGACTTGGAGAGGCCATCCTACTGGATCCCACGCTTTGGAGCAGGAACCACCTCATGCAGGACATAGGGTCCAGTTTCACCTTAAGATAAGAGATGCAGCTCTGGGAGGTGAGCTCCCAGACGAATGGGGCTCCACAGTACTGGGAGGACTGGAGTCAGCTCCCAACTCTCCCCTCTCTATTGACCCCTTCCTCAGGCTGCCAAAATCATTACATATAAAGAACCGGATAATCTTGAGTATTTGGAATTTCTGAAGCAGCTAAAACACTTGGCCCACGAGCAGTTCAACTTCACCATGGAGGATGGCCTGGTAGGAGGGAGTCCTGGGACCCTCCAGTGTGGACCTCCAGTTCCCATTCTATGACCCTCTGCCAGTGTCCATACTGTTTTCCCAGCCATCCCAGATTTCCCAGGTCACCCCTTCTCTCCTGTCCCATTGTTTCCAATCTCTCCTGATGATGGAGGGGGACACTGGCAAGTTCAACCTGTGAGACTCAAGTCCTCATCAGTAAATGAGGATGATGCATCCTGCCCTATCTGCATAGCAGGATTCAGAAAGCAGTGCTATATGGAGGGCATCTTTAAGTAGTAGAATCTCTCTGTGAAGTGGGGTTGTTATTTTCTCCCCTCCTCTTCCAAGCTCCCAGTGCCTCCTGTTTCCTCCCCATCAGCACCCCACTCTGTGCCCTCCACACATCCCACCCAGCCTAGCTCTGCTCTCCCTTGCAGGTGAACACCATCCCAGCGTCCTTCCACGATGGGCTCCTGCTCTATGTGCAGGCAGTGACAGAGACTCTAGCACATGGGGGAACTGTCACCGATGGGGAGGACATCACCCAGCGGATGTGGAACCGAAGCTTCCAAGGTCAGGGCTTGGAGGTGGCTGGAATGGGCTGCCTTGGGGAGTCCCAGGTGCCCCAGCAGGAGGCCATGGGAACCTGTAGCTGGCAGCCCACACCAATATTTTTCTGTCTTCTGTAAGGAACCAACGCAGCTTGCTTCATGCCCTACTTCTCTCTAAAGTGCCCAACTTCAATCATTCCTGCTGCCAAAAAGTCTGTCCCTTTGACTTTATATTATTCTGTACTTATAAATGTTTGGAGGCAAGGCAGAGGAGATCAGGGACACAGAGATGAATGAAGTAGGGGATCCCTGGACTTTCATTCTCTCAAAACACAGCCCTTTTCTCCCATGCTCCCAGGTGTGACAGGATACCTGAAAATTGACAGCAGTGGAGATCGGGAGACTGACTTCTCCCTCTGGGATATGGATTCTGAGACTGGTGCCTTCAGGGTAAGTTCGTGTGCCAAGAAGCCAGTGCCAACTCGGAATGACATCTCACCCTTCTACTTCCCCACACAGCCTTGCCAGGACATCCGTTTATTCTGTAGTCACCCTACCATGCCTGGTTACATATAAGATCCCTGTATAAAAGAGACCCAGCTCCAGTCTAGGGGAGCAACTGGAATGATAAGCACTCACAGGCATCACCCTTAGGGAACCCCATGTCTGAGGATGGAATACAGCTCTGTTCTCAAGGAGCTCCTAAGGTAGGCAGGACCCCCTCCCAGCACAGACAGGCTGACTCAGGGCCGAGAGGAATGCCTATCACACAGCTATAAGTGCAGAGGGGACAGGAAGGAATTGGGGCCAGAGGCATCAAGGATCAGATCATCCAGGGTTAGGCCTGGGATTGTGGACTGAGGCAAACACTACCTTTTCCTGTTTTCTCTGTGCTTCAACCAGGATTATGAACTCCCTGAGTGTAGGGGTGAGATTCTCTGTGGAGATTTCTTTAGAAAACCCTTGAGTAGTTTTCAAGTTTTTACACTTTAATAACATAGGCATAGGCAGCAGGGGCTTGGTAAATGGTTAACAACCCAGATGTAGGCCCTGGAAGCAGAGATAGGTAGGTGGGAGGCAGGACTGTCCCACCAGACAAGAGGTGTTCTCCCAGGTTCTTGCCCGCCCATCACTCCTGCTCTCCCATAGGTTGTACTGAACTACAATGGGACTTCCCAAGAACTGGTGGCTGTGTCAGGGCGCAAACTGAACTGGCCCCTGGGGTACCCTCCTCCTGACATCCCCAAATGTGGCTTTGACAATGAGGACCCAGCCTGCAACCAAGGTGACTGGCCCTGGCCTTCCAGGCCTCCATTCTGAAGATGCTGCTTCCTTCCTCCCAAGGGAAATCAGATAGGTGCCCCTCTCCCACACAGAGAAAGAGACTCCTGCCTTTTTCTTCCCTTCTACCATCATCCCAGTTCACCAATTGACTATCAAAAGGTTCTTCTTCCTGCTGTCTAACCCAAATCTCTCTTGCCACAACTCGGACTCTCTCCTGCAGACCACTTTTCCACCCTGGAGGTACTGGCTTTGGTGGGCAGCCTCTCCCTCATCAGCATTCTGATTGTCTCCTTCTTCATATACAGGTGAGCTGTGGGATGCGGGTGGTGAGGAAGGCCGGGGAGACCTGGAGAACCATTAGCAGAGGAGGCAGGAACCCCAAGGGTAGGGGAGCGGAGGGAAGGGATAGCAGGGAAAGGCCCAGGGAGAGGGGGGAGAAAAGAGACTAAAAAGCCTTAGGACATAGAGAAGAGAGAGGAAGGGAATAGGGTGGGAGGAGAGGGGACAGGAATAGGAATGACCAGGGGGGTCGGGCATATCACAGAAGGAGCAGAGAAGTTGGAGAGTAACATCATAGGGGTGTAGATTCCTCCTGCTGGTCAGATGGGAAGCAGTGGTTCAAGACCTTCAGGATTGGGCCCATATTAGTTGAGCAGGAATGATGAGCCCTGCTGTGTACTGGGGCCAAACTTCGTTCTTATAATAGATAAGAATGAAATAGATATTGAAGCCCCTGATTTCCAAATGAGGACGCTGAGGTGACTACCAAGGTCCCCAGTGGGGCAGAATTTCACCCAGGCCTCCTAACTCAGCCCAAAGGATAGAATTCCCCCATCCAATGTGGTCCCAGGGCTCTGAGGAGGGGCTGCTGAGCCCCCCACCCTGAGCCAGGGGCTCAGACATGGCCTCAGATGTAGGCTTCATGCCCCAGGAAGATGCAGCTGGAGAAGGAGCTGGCCTCAGAGCTGTGGCGAGTGCGCTGGGAGGACATACAACCCAGTAGCCTTGAGAGGCACCTCCGGAGTGCGGGCAGCCGGCTGACCCTGAGCGGGGTAAGAATGCTGGCGTTTGTGGGGTGGGGGTAGTGGAGGAGATCTGGGGACCCGGGGGCAGTGCCTGAAGGGTAGGGTAGAGAGCAGGGTTCTAGTCCCAGCCCTGCCTTCACTTGCTATGTGATCTTGAGCGAGTCACGTTCCCTCTCTGAGACTGTCTCAGATGATGATTACAGCTATCAAGCCTCCCTCACAGGGCTCTTTCAAAGGTCAAAGAAGATAGTATTTAAAAAACATTTTTAGGGCTGTCCCCATGGCTCACTCAGGAGAGTGTGGCACTGAGAGCGCCGAGGCTGCAGGTTCGGATCCTATATAGGGATGGCCGGTGCGCTCACTGGCTGAGCGTGGTGCAGACCACACTGTGCCGAGCATTGCAATCACCTTACCGGTCAAAAAAAACCCAACAGGGCCGGCCCGGTGGCGCACTTGGTAGAGTGCAGCACTTGGGAGCGCGGCGGCCCTCCTGCTGAGGGTTCGGATCCCATATAGAGACCTGTCTGCTCACTGGTTGAGTGCGGTGCGGGCACGACACCGAGGGTTGCGATCCTGTTACCGGTCACGAAAAAAAGACAAAAAAAAAAAAACAACAACACATTTTTTTAAAAAGTGAATAAGAAGAGGATTTCATGATGCGGAATGCAAAGGAGGGGACACAAAGATAAGGCAGGGAAATAAAGCCCAGAGCTCAAGCAAACAGGATGCAGCCTGGGCACATGGGCTCACCATCCCTCCTGCTCTCCATCCCTTCAGAGAGGCTCCAATTACGGCTCCCTGCTAACCACAGAGGGCCAGTTCCAAGTCTTTGCCAAGACAGCATATTATAAGGTGGGTCTGGGGCAGAACCACTGGTCCTCAGGACTGGGGCAGGGGTATGCTCTGATGAAGGATGGGGGGAGGGTCCTGGGGCAGAAGTGGGCTGTTGGGATCAGTTGGAGTTCCCAAGGCACCTGGCTGTGCTCCTCACAGTGACAGTCTCCATTCCTTGCTCAGGGCAACCTCGTGGCTGTGAAACATGTGAACCGTAAACGCATTGAGCTGACACGAAAAGTCCTGTTTGAACTGAAGCATGTAATGTGGGGGGGTGAGGCAGTGGCCTGGAGAAGGGTCCCACGGGCCACAAGAGAGGTTGGCCAACAGAACTGGTTATGCAGGGACCTCAGGGTATCCCAAGAAAGGGTAGGGAGTATAGCCCTGGGATGGGCCCTTGCATCTTGTGGGTGGAAGTAGGGATCATAAGATGGGAGAAGGGATCACTGGAGGAAAGTCTTTGAGGGGCCATACGTGATGTCCCCAGGGGGTGAGGGCTTAGGAGGCAGAGAGAGGAGGGAGCAGATCTGGGGGAGGGTGGGCTAAAAACATGGGTAGGAATCACCAGGGATGGTCCTAGCCATGTCTGCAAAAAACAAATAGGGAGGTCAGAGGAAGAGTGAGAGGTCCCTGAGGCTACTGGGCAACCCGGTGAGGAGCAAAGACTCTGGCAGACTCCTGATGTTGGCTCCCACCTGCAGATGCGGGATGTGCAGAATGAACACCTGACCAGGTTTGTGGGTGCCTGCACTGACCCCCCCAACATCTGTATCCTCACAGAGTACTGTCCCCGTGGGAGCCTGCAGGTGAGAGGGACAAGCGGGTGTCAGGAAACCTGGATTCTGGTCCTGGCTCTGCCCCTGACTAGCCATATGACCCCAGGGAAACCTCTCCCTTGTTCTGACCTTTTGATCCCATGTCTGTAAAATGGGAGTGGGGGGAGGGCACTGGCACTGAAGTAAATCCAAAGTTTTGTCTCATTTTACCAGTTTATGTCAGTAGGATCCCTGTACCCTCCTTCCACTCCTGGGGGCATCTGCAGGGTACAGGTCTGACTCTCACTGCCCCAGCAGGACATTCTAGAGAATGAGAGCATCACCCTGGACTGGATGTTCCGGTACTCCCTCACCAATGACATCGTCAAGGTGGGCCCAGAGGAGCCCATTGCACATGGGGGGAGGGGCCAGGCATGCTTCTCCTCTGCCATGGTTGTAAGTCCCACTTGTGCCCAAGACCTTTGCCTCCCCAAATTTCCCAGGGCATGCTGTTTCTACACAATGGGGCCATTTGCTCCCATGGGAACCTCAAGTCATCCAACTGTGTGGTAGATGGGCGGTTTGTGCTCAAGATCACCGACTACGGGCTGGAGAGCTTCAGGGACCCCGGGCCAGAGCAAGGACACACCCTCTATGCCAGTGAGCCCCATCTCTTGACCCCTAACACCCACCCCATCACAGCCCAATAGGGAGCCTGGAGCCTGGCCTCTAATGGGCTTGCCTTTCCTGACTCCAGGCTCAATTCATTCATCACTCAAAACAGGTCAGACTAAGTGGTCTCTTCTAGCTCTAACACTGTGTGAAGTCTCCAGATCAATTCCAGCCACGTCCTTATTTTCCCCTCAGCTTTGGGGGCCCTCACCCTGTGACTCCTTGCCTCTGACCCACAGAAAAGTTGTGGACAGCCCCTGAGCTCCTGAGAATGGCTTCACCCCCTGCTCGAGGCTCCCAGGCTGGTGACGTGTATAGCTTTGGGATCATCCTTCAAGAGATTGCACTGAGGAATGGCGTCTTCCACGTGGAAGGTTTGGACCTCAGCCCCAAAGGTGAGAGGACCACGCTTACCCCCACCCCTTCCATAGTCTCTGCTAACCCCAGCCCTTGGAGGCACCACCACACCTTCCTTCTGGAATGGGCTCAGCCACCACCCTCTGCTCCACTGCTGCCAGTGACCAGTCCCCTGCCCATATCCCCTGCCCAGCTCTCCCACTGCAGGCCCTGGTCCTGGACTGCCCCAACCCACCCCACGTGGTTGCCCCCAGTCTCTCACTAGGCCCTTGGCTGACCCCACCCCTCAGCCCCTTTCCCCCCACAATACAGAGATCATTGAGCGTGTGACTCGGGGTGAGCAGCCCCCCTTCCGGCCTTCCCTGGCCCTGCAGAGTCACCTGGAGGATCTGGGGAACCTGATGCAGCGGTGCTGGGCTGAGGACCCACAGGAGCGGCCACCCTTCCAGCAGATCCGCCTGATGCTGCGCAAGTTTAACAGGTCACTGGTATTAGCCATGGATCCCCCAGCCTCCCCCCACCACAGCCACCATATACCCCACACTTATGTCTTATCCCTGCAGTGGCAGAGGGAGCCCACTCACACTCTCCCCATGCACAGCCCACTCCAGCCCATCACAGCCTTACAGCCCTCTTTGCACATACTATACGACTCAGCTGTCCCCACAGTCCCTTACCATTCATACCTCTTTCCTCCATCAACATCAACACCCCATGCCCTTCCTGCCCACTCCCCCACACTGGCCCCTAGACTTTTCAGCAGTGTGCAGAGTAAACGGGCACACACCCCTGCACTCCCACTCCTTCCCCTCTAGCCTCTTGGCTCTCCACAGGAGCCCCTACCCCAGCCCTTTGATCTCCCTTTCCTGGTGTGCCCCCTGGGGTCCGCACACACCCCTCTGCTGCCTGTGTACCCATCACTTTGTCCTGAACTGATCTTTGTCCCTCTCCACCTCCTGCCAACTCAATTGTGTTCAAAAAAGACAAACAATGGGCCGGCCCGTGGCTCACTTGGTAGAGTGCAGTGCTGATAACACCAAGGCCGCGGGTTCGGATCCTATATAGGGATGGCCGGTTTGCTCACTGGCTGAGCGTGGTGCTGACAACACCAAGCCAAGGGTTGAGATCCCCTTACCGGTCATCTTTTAAAAAAGATCCCATATAGGGATGGCCGATTTGCTCACTGGGTGAGCGTGGTGCTGACAACACCAAGCCAAGGGTTGAGATCCCCTTACCGGTCATCTTTTAAAAAAGATCCCATATAGGGATGGCCGATTTGCTCACTGGGTGAGCGTGGTGCTGACAACACCAAGTCAAGGGTTAAGATCCCCTTACTGGTCATCTTTTTTTTTAAAAAAAAAAAAAGACAAACAAGGTATCGATATGTCTGAAGCTTCATACTAGACCCTGGGGTCTCAGAGATGAATTGAACTTTCTTCCTACCCTTTTCCCCTGCTCACCATTATCATGCTGTGCCCTCAACCTTGACCCTCTCCAGGCACCCCACTGCAGTTGTGGGGGGGTGAGCTGACATTCAGCCTGGGTAGGGTGAGTGCCTGGGGGTGGGGGGTCTTCCAGGTAGGACCACGCAGCTCCTCCCTCACCACCCCCACCTTTGCCACCCGCTGACCCTCAGGGAGAACAGCAGCAACATCCTGGACAACCTGCTGTCCCGCATGGAGCAGTACGCCAACAACCTGGAGGAGCTGGTAGAGGAGCGGACCCAGGCATACTTAGAGGAAAAGCGCAAGGCCGAAGCCCTGCTCTACCAGATTCTGCCTCAGTGAGTGCCTGTGTCTGGGGAGCCCATCACACACACAGCCATTGTCCTGGCCCCACCTCACCCTCTGATCCTGCATCTGCCCTCACCCCTCAGCTCAGTGGCTGAGCAGCTGAAGCGTGGTGAGACAGTCCAGGCCGAAGCCTTTGACAGCGTTACCATCTACTTCAGTGACATTGTGGGTTTCACAGCCCTGTCAGCAGAGAGCACACCCATGCAGGTAAGCCAGGGCTCAGCCATGGGCTCAGACCAGGCAGGTCCGTGTGGCTTAGCATTTCCATCCATCAGGCCTGCCTTCTGGTTCCACTCTTCCCATCCAACCCCAGGTGGGGGCCCTTACTCCCATCCCTCTTGGCTTCTCTTCTTTTTTTTTAAAGATGACTGGTAAGGGGATCTTAACCCTTGACTTGGTGTTGTCAGCACCACACTCTCCCAAGTGAGCTAACTGGCCATCCCTATATAGGGATCCACACCTGTGGCCTTGGTGTTATCAGCACCATACTCTACCAAGTGAGCCACGGGCTGGCCCTTCTCTGGGCTTCTCTTCTTTTCCAGGTGGTGACCCTGCTCAATGACCTGTACACTTGCTTTGATGCTGTCATAGACAACTTTGATGTGTACAAGGTGAGGGTGGGAGAAGGAATGGGAAAGAGCAGACAGACAAGGACAAAGTCGGAAAAAGGTGAGGGGGAGGCAGAATGACATGGAGTCTTAAGAGAGGGCAGTGAGGGACATGGACAGAGACAGTGACACAGGGAGACCAGGAACAGGCAGAGAAACCGCGCGGGATGGGGGATAAGCAAAGACAGCATCAAGTGGAGCAGGAACAAGAGGACAGACAGTGAGCACGTTGTGAGGGGTGGCCCAGGGAAGAGACAGTTCCAGCCCTAATGTCCTGCACCCTCTTGCCGCCTGCACAGGTGGAGACGATCGGCGACGCCTACATGGTGGTGTCCGGCCTCCCGGTGCGGAATGGGCGGCTCCACGCCCGCGAGGTGGCCCGCATGGCCCTGGCGCTGCTGGACGCTGTGCACTCCTTCCGCATTCGCCACCGGCCCCAGGAGCAGCTGCGCTTGCGCATCGGCATCCACACAGGTGTGGCCGCCAAGGGCACAGGGAGGGGAGACTTGTTCAGAGGCCCAGGCCCTCACCCTATTCTCTCTCTCTCCCCCCGCCCCCGCCGTCACGCACACACGCACACGCGCGCGCACACACACGCGCACACACGAGTTGGATCTCAGGTTCCACCTCCTGCCTCTCCTGGAGCTCCACCCCCCATTCCTTCCACCTACCTCGCTTAACACCTTTCTCCCCCTCTTGCGTCTCCCAGGACCTGTGTGTGCTGGCGTAGTAGGGCTGAAGATGCCTCGTTACTGTCTCTTTGGGGACACAGTTAACACGGCCTCAAGAATGGAGTCCAACGGGGAAGGTAGGGTGCCTCTCCTAGAGGGAATAGGAAGGGCAGGGTAGCCAAGGAAAGGCCACCCTCTGGGCAGCTTGTGCCTGCTGGATCCCAGTTCCAGATCCAGCCCTTCTCAGAATTTCCTTCTCATAATTGTTCAACCCGGACACATCACCTTGAGTCTAATGAGAGATTCAGGTTCCTGCTGCCCCCTCTTGCCAAATGATTTAAAAGTATTTCTCAAGCAATGTTCAACAGTTCCCATCAGGAATCTCACCTGTAGGGGCCCTCTGCCCTGCCAGCCGCCTTGGGTATGAATCTCAGTTCCACAGCTAGCTGTGTGTCAATGTGCTATACCTCTCTGAGCCTTGGTTTTCCTTATCTGTAAAATGAGAATAAAATATCTTTCTCACAGGGGTTATGTGAGAAAGCCATATAAAATGCCAGACATTCAACTTTTCTGAGCCTCAGCTGTTTATCTATAAAATGATGCTTATCTCAGGGTTGCAAAAAACTTAGCACAACTCATGGCACCCAATGGGTACCCAGTAAATGCTTGCTGTCACCCTTTGGTCTTTCTTCCTGTTTATCTTCTATTCTCTTGCTGTATTCAACGAAGTTCAATTCAGTAAACATTTATTGAGTAGTCACTGTGAGTGTCAGGCCTTGGGATACTAAGATGACCCAGACCCAGAGTTAGCTAGGGAGTCCTTGTGGACTCCATCCAAACTTCATGGTAAGAGAAGCCCTGGGGGTTCAGAAGGGTCTTGGTCAGCAAATATTTCCTGGGCACTGGGTTTGGGGCTGTCGGGATAGGAAAGAATCTCTCACTGAGGTCCAGTCATGAAGGAGCACATTCTCAGAAGTGGTTCAATGAAGTGAGGCCTCTGTGATGCAGACCCCAGAAGAAAGAGGGACATGAGTTCAGAGAGTGGTCAAAGAAAGAGTGTGGGAATACTGGGCCCCACTCCATCATTGACCCCTCAGCAGCTTGGGCAGATCTCCTGCCCTAGGTCTCAGTTCCTCAGCCATAAATTGAGGGTATTGAGTTAAATAACAGCAATAGCAACAATTTATATGATGCTTCTTATGTGCCATATTCTGTTTAAATACTTTATGAATGTTAAATTTAATCCTTACAACCAGGTTCTGAGATGGGTACTGTCACTATCAGCCTTTTACAGATCAGGAAAATGAGACACAGCATTTAGATTACTTACACGAGCAAGTGTCTGAGCTGGGATTCAGAGTGAGGTGGAACAGGATCCAATGGGAGCTCCTCACCACTACACTGCACTGTCTCTCTGGAGCCCAGTGACACCCCAGAGCCATGCTGTCCAATCGGACTTTCTGTAAAATTCTGAAAATATTCTGTAATCTGTGTAGTCCAATATGGTACCCTCTAGTCACATGTGGCTATTGATCACTTGACATGGGACTAGTGCAATTGAAACTCTGAATTTTTAACTGTACTTCATTTTAATTTAAATTTAAACAGGCACATGTGAGTAGTGGCTACCACATTGGACAACACAGCTCTAGAGTTCTAAAGGAGAGGCCAATGTGATCACACACTACATGGAGAGGATGGGACTCAATTAGGAGGCTTCCTGGGCCAAAGGGTGGGAGGGAAGGGAGTGCAGCTGTCCACTGTCAGTCTCTGACCACTTCTGCCTCCACTCTCCTGCTCCCATCTCTTGCATGCCTCACCTTCCCTTCTCTCCTATCTTACCAGCCCTGAAGATCCACTTGTCTTCGGAGACCAAGACTGTCCTGGAGGAGTTTGGTGGTTTCGAGCTGGAGCTTCGAGGGGATGTAGAAATGAAGGTAGAGAAGGAAGACCCTACCCTCACCGCCTGTTGGGGTCCCAGAGGGGGTTATCCTTCTCAAGCAACCAATGTCACTCCCATCCCTAGGCCTTCATCTGATTTGGGGAAATGAATGTGCTATTCCTCACCCCAACATCCCCTTCTTTTTCTCTCCAGGGCAAAGGCAAGGTTCGGACCTACTGGCTTCTGGGGGAGTGGGGCAGTAGCACCCGAGGCTGACCTGCCTCCCCTCCTGTCCCTCCACACCTCCCTTCCTTGTGCCAGAGGTGACAGAGGTGCCAGGCCTCAGCTTCACCTACAGCAGCCCACCATTGCCGAAGGATCGGTGAAGTGGTTTGAACAGCTCAGGGTGCCAACCCCAGTGGAGATACCAGATGTGACCTCTGAGAGAGGACTGGTGTGGGGGAAAACTCAGAGCTCATGGGACTGGGTTAAAGCACAGTCATGCTCAGTGGCACACATGTAGGCAGGCACACGCCTCCACTCTCCACGCTGACTCAGGCCAGACTGGGATGTGGATTCCTGATCCTCCTCTCCCTCTCCCCATGCCCTCTTCCCTCTACCTTGCTACACTGTGACTTTTATTGGGAAGGGAAAGAACCACCTGAGGGAGAATATGAAAAGAGATTCTAGGTGAATCAAGGGGGTGGGGGAGTCCACATCTGGGCCTAGCCCACAAGGGTCACAAACACTCCATCCCCATCCCCACCTCCACCCAATGGTGGACACAGCGTATAGGGGAGAAGAGGGGCGGTGTGGAGGGGCTACAGGCCTGTATGCTTGGCTTCTGCTGTGAGCAGAGACCATTAAAATCTTGCTTCCAGTGACACCTTCTCTTCTTGAGGGAGAGAGGGTTGCCGGAAAACACAGCCATGTTCTCCATCCTCTATTTCAAGTAACACTTGATTCTCAAGCTGGGAATGCAGGTTCTGAAAAGGCTGAGTTCATCTTCAACTGTGAGGAGACCATGTAACAAACAGCCTATGAATCACCCAGCAATGCTGAAACTTTTGGTCTAAGGACTCATTTACACACGTAAGAATTTTGTTGTTGTTGTTGGTTGGTGGGTCCAAACCCTTGACCTAGATGTTACCAGCACCACTCTCTCCCAAGTGAGCTGACTGGCCAGCCCCCCTAACAATTATTAAAGGCCCCAAAGAGCTTTTGTTTATGTGGGTTATATCTATTAAGGTTCACCATATTATATCTAGTGATGTTCACCGTATTAGAAATTTAAATGAATCCTTATTTATTAACTCATGTAAGATGATAATAATAAACCCATTACATGTTAATAATTTTTTACTGTCTTATCAAGGACATTCTTAAGAGAAACTGGCTTTTTCAATGTGTGGTAGTGAAGAATACAGTTACTTGTTTGGTGCCACTGCCTTCATTTATGCTAAGGTGCCAGCAGTTTTATCCCTGTTGCTTTTGCACTTCTGATGCAAGCGCCAATAACCAAAAAGACAAATAATGTATCGGTATTATTATGAAAATTCTTTGACCTCATCTATTCCCTGAAAGAGTCTTGGGACTCCCAGGATCTGTGGACCACACTTTGAGAATGGCTACATTATCTAATGGCTGGCTTACAGTAGGAATAATACAAGGGGTCTTTAAAAAGTTCATGGAAAGGTTTGTGTTATCTTTTTTGTTGTTGTTATAGCCGCAATAAGATTGTATTATATTTCAATTCTATTTTCAAAGTTTTTCCATAAATTTTTTGAAGTACCCTTAATTAGTGTGGACTGAATGGAGAAGACTGGGAGCCAGGAAGGAGGGTGGGGTGAGAACATATGGATCTGCTTTTAACTCCGTTCAGATTTGGGGATTTTCCTCCTTTCCCTCCATTCCCCATGTCATTGTAGACAAATGTGAGTGATAGTTTGCAAAATGCCTCTCAGCTGGGCTAAGGTCCCTCCTTTCCCTGCTCCAGCTACCCACCCCACCCCCATCCTAGGCAGGCAGGAATGCGGGGGAGAGGTGGCTGCAGCTTCACCTCCCCCATGGGGAAGGAAAGTGCCAGACATTTCTTCAGTACCATCCATCAAGTGCAGACAGGCCCTTCCCCCTCCCTCCCTAAGCCTCTTCCTGGAGTCCCCACCCAATGGAGGGCCTTGGAGGTAGGGGTGGGCTACCTAGAGAGCTTGGAAGTCTGACTACAAGGAAGTGCTCCCTGATATATGACTGGAGATTTGGGGATGGAGAAAGGATAAATTGTTTTCCCTCCTGTCCAGTGACCCTTCTTGATGTTCTGTGCTTCCTACCCACCCTTTTTGGCTCCAGTCAGACTTGATTTATTGAGAGAGGGAGTTTACGTGGTCAAGTCCTTCTCACCAGCCAAGCTGGGGATGAATAGCACTGGGAAGGCCTTACCAAAAGATGGTTGTCCTGGCAACCGCAGCACACTCAACTTCCTAGTGGGCCCTGGTGGCTTGTTGACTCCCATGCCCAGTTACTCCTCCCAGGGCTGGTAGAAAGCCCCAGAAGAGATCTGTGATAAGAGAACTGTGGGGCCTAAGAAGTCAGATCAGCATGGGGGCTGGGACATCCAGAGGGACTTGGGCTTTGGGGAGAGGCGACCATGAGAGGAGGTGGGGAAAAGCGGGGAGCTGGATGACTGAAGAGCTCCAGCAAGACAATTCTAGGAAATTGCCGGTCAGATCCTTCCGGGGCAGCCTGGCTCCACTGCAGGCACTAGGAAGGGAGGGGGTTGGGGGTGGGCATGAGGAGAGGCCCAAGGAGTCAATGATTTCAACAGCTCCAGAACTTTCACTGGAACTGAGGAGATTTCCTTCCGGAGGAAGGCCCCTGAAGCCAGGAAGAACTGGGAAAGCCATTACTGAGAGGGGAGGAGATAGGGTAGCAATAACACCCCTTTCCCCAAGTTGGGGAGACCATTTGTGCCCAGAACCTCCGCCCCTATGGGAGGGGCAGTCTAGCCTCTCAGAGTTTCCTGGGCTCTCCTGGCTAGTAGGTTTGGGAGGGGTGGAGAGCAGCACCAGGGTTTCCCTGGAGTATGATAAGAATAATAACAACAGTAATAATTGGCATTCAATTGTGCCTTGCAGTTGACAAAGGCTTTCACATACATTATCTCATCAGCCCACGTGACACCCCTGGAAAGGGGGGGTGGGGTAGGCTGAGAAGGCAGCTCAGCTAGGGGTAGGAGGGCCCAGCTGACATCCAACTGTGGCTAGGAGGACACAGGACACCGGAGACAGTGCGTGGAGGCAACTCCAGCCCAACTAGCCTTGCATAAGGCCAGGGCCAGGAAAAAAACAGAGCTGACAGAAGCAGACAAATATCCTCTCCATCTCCACCCCCTTTTTTCCCTACGTCAACGGCTTGGGTAATTCATTTATCATAGCAGTACATTTAGAAAAATTATTTTCTGGGGCCAGCCCCGTGGCTCACTCGGGAGAGTGCGGTGCTGACAACACCAAGGCCATGGGTTCGGATCCTATATAGGGATGGCCGGTTTGCTCACTGGGTGAGCGTGGTGCTGACAACACCAAGCCAAGGGTTAAGATCCCCTTACTGGTCATCTTTTTAAAAAAAAAAAAAAAAAAAAAAAAAAAAGGGGGGGCCGCCCGGGGGGCGCATTGGATAGTGCGCCGCTTGGGAAG